CCTCTCTTTCTTATTTGTGGGGAACCTGGATTTGCGTCGCATTGCTCCACCAATCAGCGCTCAGCTTTTGGTTTTGTTTGGAATTCACGTGACCAGCAGGAAATCAAACTACGGACGAGGGGAGGCGTGAAATGAAAGCGATTCAAGATTCTCACATACGTTGGTTTTTTTCGTTGACAAAGAATTGTGTTTACGTGGTGCTCTCCTTGCATGTCGAGTGCAGCCATATTGTTTTATTTCTATCAGTTGTTACAATCTTCTAATTCCTTTTCCTCTCTAACTTTGAATAGTTTTCTTCGCGTTTGATTATTTCATCTCGAGACTTTCGAAGAGTATTTATTTCTTGTTGCTACTGCCATGAGAACTCAAAACGGCAACAAGCTGAACAAACATCTCAACCTTATCGTCTACTGAACTGGGGAATATCTTAAATGTTGCAACAAAAAATGTACTGAGGAATGTACTTGTGTGGACTTGTATTACAAACTGCTGTTGTGGTTCTAAAGTGGTTCTTAATAGGCTGTCGTCTGACTTGTGTGATCCGAGGCTTACTTTTAATGAGTCATTTCATCTGGAAATCAGCCTTATGAATATATGATTATCAAAGTTACTCATGTGGGTGTCAAAACATTGGTTTTTAAAAGAACATTTTCCAGTCCAGTACCAGGTGAAATGACCATTTTATGGAAAAGGTGTTTACAGGAGGAGGAAGCATCAAGGACTCAGTATAATTCTCCTACTTTGCCATACTCCTGATTGTATATGTAAAAAAAAAATGATTTTGCCTCGTCTGTGGTTAAAAGCTATTATTATTATTATTAATATATTATCTATTTTTTTGTATATCTTATTTTCAAAATGGAACAATTTGTGGCTTTGCTGCTTCCCCCTTTTGACAAACTCCTTGTGCATATAATCAAAAACAATTACTGCTGTTGTGTCCCTGCATGAATACTTAGCCTTCCTTCGCCTCACAGTGTTGGCCTGAAGTTGCCTCAAAATAGTGACATTAATATTCGTTTTGCCAGCAGCGTGAATATTTATTTTGACGCACCACATGAAATGGGTTTTACATAACACTTCTTCAGAGGGAAAAACAAACCTAATTCCCTGCCAATACTTTACTGTAACCACCATCAAGAGTGTATTGATTCACACTCACGTGGTTTTTTTTAAGCAGGATATAGCAAATAAGATGTCATATATATCAATAACATAGTATGATCTTGGTTTCATTTGCCGCTGTTTGGCTTTAGAGGAGACTCCTTCCCAGGTTTTACAGGAGGAATGGTCAGACATTTTAGGATTGTTTTCATTATTTGCTGTCTTAACAGAAGATACATCTCTGTGCACTCAGTAAAGACAACCCAGTACCTTAGCTTAGCCTAGCCTAGCTTAGCTTAGTGTAGTTTAGCTTATTGTAGCTTAGCTTACCTTAACTTAGCTTAGCTTAGCTTAGTGTAGCTTAGTTAACATTAGCTTAGCAGACTATTGGACACAATTCTACAATACACCTTCCAGTAAATCCCAAAATGTTTAATGTACCTTATTAACTACTGAATAACTGCTGTTAGAAAAATGTGTGTACTAACAAACGTTTTAGAAGCTAGCATATTTAAAATGAGCAGCAAGAGTCCAATATGTTAGCCAGTTGCTTATTCAACAGTTGTTTTATTTGACTATGAATGTAAATACACACATAAAGTAGACTATAGACAAGTGTGTAATTATTAGCTTTTTAACTATTTGCATTATCGTTGATGGCATCAGGCTAGCTGTTTCCAGAGTTTACTAATAAGCTAAGCTAAATGCTACATGAAAGGAGCTCCATACTGATTGGACAGAGAATCATTTTGAATAATTCTTTTATTTAATACAGCAAAAATGTAAATGACCTAAAATGTATGAACAAACAAGGCTGTAAACTGGTGAAGGATTATTTTCCCATTCACAGAAAGGGTTAGTGCTTGATTTCTCAGTTATTTACATGTTTTTTAATCAAACTAACCCATGCTAACTCTTGAGTAGGGTTACTGTGAGGCGTTGTAGATGTGCAGCTCTGGTAGGACTGTGCTCCTGTATCCATAGTGTGCCGGCTTTACGCTCTACACCTTAGAGGCTTTAGTGGTGTTGTGCCAAGTTTGTACCGAGTTCAGTGGGTTATGAGACATACAAGGTGTGCGTGAGAGTGCGTGAGCTTCAGATGCGAACGTTGTTGTATGTCGTACATTTCAAAGTTTACTGTATCTTGCCTTGCACTTTACGAAGAAGCAAACTTAATGGGGAAAAAAGACATTAGTGTGCATGTGTGCGTGTGTGTGTTTAAGATTTTGAGTGTTTACAAGTGTTTTTTTAATTGATTTCATGAGAAAATCTTTAATTTATGATAAATGTATACGGACAAAAGTGTGTTGATACAATGTAATATATCTAACCAAACGTAAAAAAGAATGATAAATATATAGTGGTTGTAAAATGACTCCCACAGCAGCTTGAATCTCCCAATGTTATTACATGTGTCATTCCAATGCCATTGAAATGTCTTTCCAATGTCACACCAATTGGTATTGAAATAGAATTGTAAAAATGTCACCAATATTAAGGTTATTTTAACTTCAAGCCAAAGTTTTTTGAATTATCCTGTGAAGTTACAGACTATTAATGAATTGTTTACACAAAAAGAAATGTCATACTCAGCTTTGAGTTGTTTAGCCAACATTTGGGTAACTTTTTGTGTATAATTTTCAAATTGTAGGAAGTCTAACTTATGCTTTCATGAGCATTTTTTGTGCTGAAAACGAAGCAAAATTGCGTCCACTTCTGGGAACACATACTTGTGTTAACCATTTTTGGGATAAAATAATGTGTTGCCTACGTTTCATGGTCTTTTAACCAAGGATTTCATAGTTTTTCTTTAAAAAGCATCATTGTTTTTAATTAATGTTCATTTTTTTCATACAGCAAAATGTCATTTTTGACTGAAACTCTTCCAGGGAGTTAAACAGAGCTGACAAACTGAAGAAAAAAAAACACAGATTGCAAACACGCCACCATGTTTGTGCAACAGTATTCCATATAGACGACATTTGTGAACGCACCCCTGATCTGAACAGCCTACATATTGATCTATTGAGACTGTGTGCGCAACGCTGGACTAGATGTTGCACGAACCTTGTACGTTGCGAGGTGTTTTATTGTGTTATCGTGTGCAGTGTGTAACAAAGACAAAGTCAGCGCAACCCTTTGGAGATTAAATGACTTATTGAAGTGTGAAACTGGTGTCCTTTGGCGTTAATGTGTCCATGATGATGATGTTTTAAAGGGGACCTATCGTGCAAAATGCACTTTTTGATGTCTTTTATACATAAATATGTGTCCCCGGTGTGTCAGGGAACTCACGCAGCGTCAGAAAATAAAACCCTCTCTCTTTTCCTCCGTACCCAAATCTCTAAAAACGGATTTGATCCAGATTTGCGTCCGATATGACGTCAAATCTGAAATGCGGACCCACAGCCCTATCAGAAACGTTGCTATCGGAAACAATGCCCGACTGTTTTGGACGTAATATGGTCGGTGTTTACATTAGCATCGCTAACACTCAGAGCTAACCTGTACTGGAGAGCATGTGTGTGAAGAAGCAGGAAATAAAAAGGAACTCACCTTGAGGTATAACCGGCAAGAGAGAAAGCCTTTGAGCTCCATACTGTTTCAGAAATAATCCTTGATCTAATAATACTTGTGTTTCATCACCGCAGCATTTTAGACGGTCTGCCAGGTCCCGCATGAGCCGCTAAGGCTCCGCCCCCTCTTATTTATTATTTTTTTCAGTTAAAAAAAATGGTCATTCTCAAGAGAGACCTGTTTATACCCAAAATCAGCACTTTTGGAACAGGAAGTGAAATAGAGGGATATGAGGCATGGCTAGAATGGGTGATCTGTTTGGTATTTTGAGCAAAACACTTCATAGACATGTTTTTTTATATATTTTTTATATATCTGAGACCTATGCTATTGCCTAGAAATAGCATGATATGTGACCTTTAACTCTTAAAAGGTATGGTCACAACACAGTTTAACTAAGTCAATCAATGATATTCTGCACATTTCAGGTGTTAAGAAGTGCTTGAATTTAATTTTTTTCTTTCCTCTTCCACATGAACCTGCTGTGCTTTAGTTGTATTTATTTGTCTTGCAGGTGGAGATACAAGTCAAGGTGTTAGTGTGCTTCAAAAGTGTCAAAGCGTCTTATCCCTAAGAGCCTAAAGGTAAAATGTTGTATAGCTTTTCTCGATTTTCGGTACTCAAAGGTTTCTTACTGCATCTTCTTTCACTCCCTTTTATGAATTTAAAACGTACACCGCAAGACTTCTGTTAACCATCAAGTATAAATCAGTCTTTAAATGATTATTAAAGCACTTTATTTGATAGGTAGTGAGGTGTTGAGGCTATATTCTCCATCTTTGTAGAACTAACATTGCTATTTCTTGCCTGTAGTAAAGCTGATGAGTAGGTTGTGTTTGCATATAAACAATAGGCTTATATTAATAAAAGCCATGCGTGGAAATAACATTTAAGCATGACTCATAAGCTCAAGGCTAACTGTTTTGTTTATAGAGACAACCAATTACAGCAGTGGATGCTCAAATGACTCATTAGGCCGTTAACTGAATCATTAATCTTGATTTTTCTCCTTAAAACACGGTGGACGTGTGCTGGATAACAAGTCTTGTTGTTCCATTCCTCTGGTGTTTCGTTTGCTTTAGACAAACACGTAAAAAAAGATTGTCATACTGTAAAATTAGTTTTTCTTTACATGCTATTACCTTTTTTCCAACACACTATACCATGACTTTTCAATGTTTAATGGTTTCAGGCAACAGCAAAAAAACAGGATAGTATGTCGACATTTTCCCCCCAAAAAATTACTTATGTCGAAAATATGCAAAAAAACAATATAGTATGTCGAATATATGCCAAAAAAACACAAAGTATAGTATTTCGAAAATATGCAAAATAACTACAAAGTATAGTATGTCAAAAATATCCCCAAAAAAACGGCATAGTTGAACAAAAATCATCCTAAAGTTCTAGTCTTTACTTTAGAAGTTGTTTCCAGGTTAGAACCTTCAATTTATTATTTGTATATGTCGTATACTGTATAAAATGAAAAAGGACCCAGTGTGTTTGTCAACCAAAGACGTAATTCAATTATTTGTGGAAGACCATCACCCCTGAATTAATTTAATGAAGGTGAAAGATTATAAGGGGCCTTATTTTTTTTACGAGACAGCAGGTGTGGTACATTTCACTTGGATCTGTATCCCCCAAAAGTCTCATGATATCAGAAAGTGAACAATTAATTTGCTTTATTACAAAAATGTGTTTCAATTATCCGCTAATGCACAACACATCTCATGTTCATTATTTCTTTGTTTTTCAGCAGAGTTACTCCAGTTCTGGCATGTCTTCGTATCCTTCCCCCTCCTCCTGCCTCCTCTGCTCCTCCAGCTTCTTCTTCTCCTCCTCCGCCCTCTTCCTCTCCTCGCTCACCTTCTTCATCTCCTCCTCCACCTCCTTCCTCTTTAAGTTTTGGATCTCTTCATCCTCGTTCTTCTTCAGCTCCTCCTTGACCTTCTCCTTCTGTGTTTGGTTCTGTTTCGTGTCGTAGGCCCACTCTTCGTCCGAGTCGCTGATGTCGTCGTCTTCGATATCGTAGTTTTGCTCCTGGTTCTCCGTGGTTTCGATGAAGGAGTCGTCAATGGGCTCTGGGTCTGGTTTGTAGTTTGGGTCTTCTAGTTTTCCCCAGGCCACTTTGTCGGCCTTACGGAGGATCACCTCCACTTTGGAGGGGACCATGTTGACTGAACTCTGCTTCACATTCACCACCTAGGAGGGAAGAGGGGAGAGACTTTAATGTAGGATACTGAGTAGACTTTGCTAGGTATTCAATCTTGAAAATCTTTGTCTGTGGAATAAGATAACTACTCTCATTATATAAAGGTTAAACAATGTCATAGTAAAGTAAGTCATAAGTAGAAAAACACAATATAGTATGTCGAAAAGGTCAGAAAAAAATGACTTCCTTTGTTTGAGAAAAAACGACATAGTGTGTCGCAGTTTTTCCGAAAGAAATGACATAGTATATATAGTATGTCGAAAAAAGAAAAAAAATACGACATAGTATAAACTGTCGGAAATATGCAAAAAACAACATAATACGTATGTACGTCGGAAATATCGGAAAAAATGACCTTTTTTTTTTTTTTTAAACGACATAGTATAATAGTGTGTCGTTATAAAAAGTCTTGGTAAAAAAATATATCAAGTCATAGTATTTCACCAATAAGTAAATCATCTTGAAAACATATATGTGTATTAGCTGAGGCAGATGTTTGCAGACAGTCATCAGATACTCACGCCCCAGAAGCGAAAGTCTTTCTTGAAGATCTTATTGTTCTCAAACTGGATTTGACATGAGAGCTAAAGAGGGGGGAAAAAAGAGCGGGAAAAATTAAATAAGCAAAAACAACAAAGTGCATTTTCGGTATTTAAAGATGAATGTATGGTTTATTACTTAATGGTTACAGATTAAGTCAGCTCATACAATCTTTCCTTCTAAGATGGTACTACAGAAATAGACTAGAGTACTACAAACATGTACTTTAGTATTTGAGTCAATGTGTGAAAACTCACCACAGTCCGGTTTGCTTCTATGCTGCTGAACTTTGGGTTTGCGTTTTTTGCGTAAATCGTAACGATGACATTATCTCCGGTCTGGTGCCAGTCGTACCGACACGCCACCTTCTTCTTGTCCTGCAAACACACACAATATCATTTAAAATAGATTATTGTTGCTTTGAGAAGAACTGGAGCATCAGTAGGAACTCCTCATGGAGAAATCAATAATCAATGCCACTTAAATGTGTTAAAAACCATCATTACAAAAAGAGACTGTGTTCAATGAGCACTATTGCAATCTGGCATTCTGGGACATTGTGGTTCACAACGTGAGACTTATAGCCGTTTTTTTAAACAATATTAAGTTACTTTTCACTTCTTTAAATGTGCTTGAGCCCACTAATATCAACGTTTCTTCATTATAATTCAACCTCACCATCAAATGACAACTTCTAAAATACCATGAAGTTGAATCAACAGCCCTCAGAAACACTTAAACAAAAAGTAAATATTTAAAGCCTTCAGAAAGCTATAAGGCTGTTTCTTTAAACTGCTTTGTTTTAGCTTTGAATCATAAATAATGAAAGTTTTTTCTCCTGTTCAAGCTTGTTTTTGTCAGACCAAATAGAAAGCTCCAGAAGAAAAAAGCCAAGCTGTGCTCACCAATCTTCACATGACAAAGGGTGATTTTACAGCTGTTTTGTTGGCTTTGTCCTTTCCAGCTAAATGTCCTTATTACTGTGAACCATGTCCTTTTGTTCAGCCCGTCATGTGTTTTCCCCCGGGGGGTGTACCTGCTTGGGGACCCAGCAGTGGACCCCTGTGGAGCAGCCCTTCTGGTCCAGGAAAGCATTGAAATCTATTGTCCTTATGCAGCAGCAGTTCCAGTACTTATACCTAAACAACAACAACAACAACAACAACATAAACACATCGTCACAGTAACAGGATTCAAAAGCAACGCTGACTGACAGTTATGTGATGATTCAAATCAACAAGAAGCAGTTTGACCTGAGAAAATGAAGAGATACGTGCAATGTAAATGGCTCTTTGAAAAGCAATGATGAAATACTATGTAATAAAAAAATCAGTTGGAGCTTGTTTTACTTCTAAAGTCTCCTACTGATGTCCCAGATTTGTTTTTAAAGAGGCCCTATTATGCTTTTTTGGGGTTTTCACTTCCCTGTAGTGTGTTATATAGTTTTTAGTGCATGTAAATGGTCTGCAGAGGCTAAAATCCCCAAGTTGCTAGTCCTTTGTTTACTTCCTGAACATAATATCATCACTTTGTAACACTCACGCTTCTATTAGCTAGCGCTCCAACACATTGTACGTGATAGGCTAAGGGGCGGGACATCGCTGAGCGGTTGACCAATGACAACAGAGCTAGCCAGCTAACCAATCAGAGCAGACTGGGCTCTGGTTTCAGACAGAGGGTGAAAAGAGGTGCTGCAGCACAGGCAGTATGAGAAACATAAAGAGCTTTTTGAACATTAAAGCATGGAGACATGTAGAGACACTACATACTGATATACACCTGAACATCAGCAGGAGAGGACTCTTTAAAGTAGAGACACTACATACTGATATACACCTGAACATCAGCAGGAGAGGACTCTTTAAAGTAGAGACACTACATACTGATATACACCTGAACATCAGCAGGAGAGGACTCTTTAAAGTAGAGACACTACATACTGATATACACCTGAACATCAGCAGGAGAGGACTCTTTAAAGTAGAGACACTACATACTGACATACACCTGAACATCAGCAGGAGAGGACTCTTTAAAGTAGAGACACTACATACTGATATACACCTGAACATCAGCAGGAGAGGACTCTTTAAAGTAGAGACACTACATACTGATATACACCTGAACATCAGCAGGAGAGGACTCTTTAAAGTAGAGACACTACATACTGATATACACCTGAACATCAGCAGGAGAGGACTCTTTAAAGTAGAGACACTACATACTGATATACACCTGAACATCAGCAGGAGAGGACTCTTTAAAGTAGAGACACTACATACTGATATACACCTGAACATCAGCAGGAGAGGACTCTTTAAAGTAGAGACACTACATACTGATATACACCTGAACATCAGCAGGAGAGGACTCTTTAAAGTAGAGACACTACATACTGATATACACCTGAACATCAGCAGGAGAGGACTCTTTAAAGTAGAGACACTACATACTGATATACACCTGAACATCAGCAGGAGAGGACTCTTTAAAGTAGAGACACTACATACTGATATACACCTGAACATCAGCAGGAGAGGACTCTTTAAAGTAGAGACACTACATACTGATATACATCTGAACATCAGCAGGAGAGGACTCTTTAAAGTAGAGACACTACATACTGATATACACCTGAACATCAGCAGGAGAGGACTCTTTAAAGTAGAGACACTACATACTGATATACACCTGAACACCAGCAGGAGAGGACTCTTTAAAGTAGAGACACTACATACTGATATACACCTGAACATCAGCAGGAGAGGACTCTTTAAAGTAGAGACACTACATACTGATATACACCTGAACATCAGCAGGAGAGGACTCTTTAAAGTAGAGACACTACATACTGATATACACCTGAACATCAGCAGGAGAGGACTCTTTAAAGTAGAGACACTACATACTGATATACACCTGAACATCAGCAGGAGAGGACTCTTTAAAGTAGAGACACTACATACTGATATACACCTGAACATCAGCAGGAGAGGACTCTTTAAAGTAGAGACACTACATACTGATATACACCTGAACATCATCAGGAGAGGACTCTTTAAAGTAGAGACACTACATACTGATATACACCTGAACATCAGCAGGAGAGGACTCTTTAAAGTAGAGACACTACATACTGATATACACCTGAACATCATCAGGAGAGGACTCTTTAAAGTAGAGACACTACATACTGATATACACCTGAACATCAGCAGGAGAGGACTCTTTAAAGTAGAGACACTACATACTGATATACACCTGAACATCAGCAGGAGAGGACTCTTTAAAGTAGAGACACTACATACTGATATACACCTGAACATCAGCAGGAGAGGACTCTTTAAAGTAGAGACACTACATACTGATATACACCTGAACATCAGCAGGAGAGGACTCTTTAAAGTAGAGACACTACATACTGATATACACCTGAACATCAGCAGGAGAGGACTCTTTAAAGTAGAGACACTACATACTGATATACACCTGAACATCAGCAGGAGAGGACTCTTTAAAGTAGAGACACTACATACTGATATACACCTGAACGTCTTTTTTTTGCTTACATGGCCCTCAGTTTTGTTTCCCTCTTTGCAAAAGCATTCTAATTGTTAAGATTGTAATTAAGATTTTGTTAAAGTGGATTGTGTAAAATGCTTTTTTTTATATCTGGAATAAAGATATGGAAACATGTGATGTGTTTCTTACCCCTCGTGGAAGACAGGGACTCCAGGATGGTGGGTGCAGACCTCTTTGTTGGTCTCTGGGCCCTGAAAGGCCTGGACACACACACACACACACACACACACACACACACACACACACACACACACACACACACACACACACACACACACACACACACACACACCACACACCACACCCACACACACAAGCAGATGATCAATACCATGGAACAGATTTCCGTTTCTCCTCACGCCTCGGCTCATCAGTCACACCTTAAGGTCAGCAGTCAAGCGTGTTGTTTCTTTGACTGCAGGGTTTCTCAACATAACGGTCGGGAGCCTGAAGGGAGTCATTCGTTTAGCAGAAATGGTCAAAAAAGAAGGTCACAGGAAGAGTCCCTTTATTTGAAAGATTTCCTGAAGATGATTACACTTAAATATGATGCATTTTTTCCAAGCATAAGATCATATTGTTGCCTATTTACGCCTAAGATTTGATAATTTTCAGGGGTTATTTTATAGACATAGGACAATAAAGAGTAGGCAAGAACAAGATAGAAAAGGGATACAATTAATTAAAAGGTCATACATGTTGTTATCTACTGTGTCCACTAGATGGAGCTCTTAATAAGCTTTATAACACAAGTACAGGACTGAGTAGCTTCTGTGTGTGTGTGTGTGTGTGTGTGTGTGTGTGTGTGTGTGTGTGTGTGTGTGTGTGTGTGTGTGTGTGTGTGTGTGTGTGTGTGTGTGAGTGTGTGTGTGTGTGGGTGCGTGCGTGCGTGCGTGCGTGTGTGATGATGAATTTGTCTGCTTTTGCTGATGTGAGATAGTCGACTATTTCGGGCCACAGAAGTCGCCACCACACACACACACACACACACACATGAATGGAGAACTAATGAATACACACTCACTGTTTTACACCCTGCGTTCTTGCAGCGCGTCCCGGGCATCACCGTCTGACTCTCTGACAAGAGAAAGACAAGAAGAGAGGAAAGATAAGGAAACACTCACTGCAGAAATATCCTTTTATCAGACTCCACTTGAAGTTTCACTTTCCTAAAGAACAAGTGGAGAATATCTCGACACATGTCAAATGCAAAATCCATTTGTTTCAAGGTTCTCTCTGAAATCCATATTTCTATTTGTCATATTGACGTTGATTTCAACATTTGGTTTAAGGCCTTTTCAACCCAATTGGACACAGAAATGTCTTGAGGAGCTGACAGATATATAAACGTACACACTAACGCATAAGAAAACAGAAACTAAGCATGTATCAGAAATATAAAAAACACTGTTATCATACACACTTATGAATAATAACCCCTAACAAGTCAGAGGACTGTTATATAAATGCATACATTTAGACTAATGCACACACACACTGCCAAAACAAATGATGTTCTTATGAAGTGAACTGTAATGTGACTGAAGTTGATTAGTTTAAAAAAAATGTTGGGGGGATATAAAGTGTTTTTTCAGCTGCAGCAATTTGCTTTTTTTGTGTTTTACATACTGTACACTGAGTTTGTCAATACTTGCTTTGGACAAGCAATAGATGGACCAGCAACACATAGGAGAAATAGATGGAATAATAAGGTTGTTTTACATCTGAAAGCCTTTCCATTAACACACACTCACTCACTCACACACACACACACACACACACACACACACACACACACACACACACACACACACACACACGCACGCACTCACACTCTTACCTTTCTTCTGGTACTCGGCCTTGGTGCTGAGGTCCAGTTTCTCCAGAGCCTGAGCCAGGGATGCAGACACTTGGTGGGGCAGCTTCAACCTGGCCTCGTCTGAACTGCACACACACACACACACACACACACACACACACACACACACACACACACACACACACACACACACACACACACACACACATACACACACACACACACATACACACACACACACACACACACACACACATACACACACACACACACACATAAAATAAAACACGTTAACACATGGCTGAGAAAGGGAACACATGTTCAGAGACACACACAGACACATCAGCACAGGACCAATGCAATAGATGATTTCTCCCAGGTGATATCTGGTGTCTGTCTGTCTGTCTGTCTGTCTGTCTGTCTGTCTGTGTGTGTGTGTGTGTGTGTGTCCCACCTGGGCCGCTCCTTCTCCAGCTTCTCTTTAGACTTGGGTCCCTGGTAGATGATCTCCTGGCAGCTGCTGTGCTTCATCTCTCCTTTCTCTGAGGAAACCTCCGGCAGCAGAGGCTCCTGGGGCTTCACGTTGCTATGGCGACCGCGGGTGCAACCCTGCGTGTAAATACAAAGCAAACACCTCAGTTCAGTCTGAATCTGAAACACGTTCATTTAGCTTTTTATTGGAAGTTAATTTAAGTAACTGTATCATTTATAATCCTCCAAAGGGGAACATTACAGTAGCTAGCTACCCTAGTGCAACAGTTCCTATAGTTACAATACATACTAAATCAATATATAACTGATATATACATACAAGTAGTTCTTTACCTAAAGGGTTTTACCAAATAAAAACAGTCGTCAGGTACCTGATCATACTGGGCACTTTTTTTTACTTAAAGGTGGGGTAGGTAATTTTGGAGAAACCGGCTCCAGTGCGCTAGAATTTGAAAATACACAGCCGGAGAAAATCTGCCACTTCCTTACAGAGCCCCTCCTCCAACACACACAGGAACGCGCACATGACCAATGAGGGCACGAGATAAGTTTGTGCACAGATGGAAGGCTGACAGGCAGGTAGGCCATCCAGTTATTTTAGCCGGGCCGGCTCAGATGATTGGTCGTGCTTTTTACAGTACTACGGCTTCCACAGATGATATTTATTTATGGATTTTTGTCAAAGCACTTCAGATATTCATTGCTATCGGGATGTTAAGAGCATTCCATGGAATATAACAAAAAGTGTGTCTCGAGCCGGTTTCTCAAACTTACCTACCCCACCTTTAATGTTTAACTTTTTTTAACTTTAATTAAATTGGATAGTTTTTTTCAAGACATTGATGCATTTTATGTGCAAGCATCACTTCAGATGGTAAAAGGTAGAGCTAGTTCTTATCGAGGCATTGTCTTTCTTAATTGTTGTTGCCAGAGTTTTGATTTTAGGTCTAACTTAACTATGCCTGAATATAAAGCATTTCAATAGTTTGAAGACATTTTCTTTGAAAGTTCCCGAATATGCATCTACACTTAAAGGGTGAAACCTCAAATGTTTGCACACGATTGTTTATGCCTTTATGTGTAAGCATCACTTTATTGTTGCAGCTGGTACATGTGGTGCTGATTTAGTCACGAAACTCACAACAAAACGACTAAAATCCCTTTTTTTATTATTCAGGTTGACCCTAAACTCTGACTACAAACCCGCGTGATAGATCTAACATGACTACGCCATGACAATAAAGAGTTTGAATTATCTAAAAAACGTGTCTTTGAGTCTTCTTTGACCAGTGGCGAGCCGTCAGGGCCCTGTAGGCCCTCTGTGAGGGCCTAAGATATTCTAAAAAATAATATATTTTTTTTAAATATATATTTTTTTAATATTATTTTTGTTATATTTTTCATTAGTTTTACCAAAATAACTTGATTTAATTGTATTTGAAATAACATTTCCAAAGAAATAAATCCTTCGAATCTGCCTGTTCAGTCTCTGTTGAATGTGAAGGGTTACATGAAAGAAGCTCGTCTGGCCCTCTCTGCGATTCACAGAGGGCCCGCTATAGTAACTGAACGAGAGAGTAATGTCACATGACAGTACAATTGACCAATCATATCTTCCCTCTAAATGGGTGGGTTTTATTATCGCGGAGTTTATGACAAGTTCCGCCCGCTGTGAAACTGTTCTTGTTTCCATAGCAACAACAACTTCCTGTCAACAGCTTGAACTCGCCTTCAAAATAAAAGCATGCCAAATTACACTTAAGACATACAACTGCAACGAAAGTAACAAACACAATGCAATATCATTTTCAATGTCAAAGAACACAAATTGGGTTCCCAGGTGTTGTTTTGTGTGGTAGAGGGTCGCTGTCATTGATGCGTTTTGCACCCTGGGCCGTTGTTTTGATATTCCGCTGAAGTATACGCTGTGACGTAATAACTCTTTTTTTTTTCTTTTTTTCGAGGGAATTGGTGGGGGTCAGAGGGCCTAGGTATAAAGCTCACGGCTCGCCACTGTCTTTGACAAATGAATTAAACTAATAGCACTTAAAACTAACTATGAATCCATATAGCAGCCTTTCAAAATCATTTCAAGGTTTGATTATTTAATTAAAATGGTGATTTACAGATTAAATACTCAAGTAGTTTATCAAGTTCTTTGGAAACTAACTTCCTCTTGTCTCTTAATATTTCCTCCACTATTTTAAAATATGATGTTTGATCGGATTTATATTTAGCGAGTGTTTGACCCGGAGCTGGTTTACCTTAATGGCGAGGAACTCAGAGAAGTCTGTCGTCCTTTTCTTACAGCACGACCATCCCTGCAGAAGGACAAACAAACAAACAAACAAACAAACAAACAAACAAATTATGTTTGTATCAGGCTTAACAAAAGTGTTGTTGTTTATTTGTCTGTTTTTTCGAGTGTTACCTTCAGAGCGTCGTGGAAGATGGGAACACCTGGATGGAAGACGCAGGAATCTATTGGAGGAAAAAGGAAAAGGGTCAGTCTGTATTTAGACACACACACACACACACACACACACACACACACACACACACACACACACACACACACACACACACACACACACACACACACACACACACACACACACACACACACACACACACACACACACACACACACACACACACACACACACACACACACACACTCAGCAGGGTGTGTCAGCTGTTCACAGAGGTCACTAGGGAGCGCCCCATAAAAGGAAGAGGGTAGCTACAAACGCTCTGAGGCTTCCACACACACACATGGCCTCTTATACTGTACATACTGGACTGGACTCACACACACACACACACACACACACACACACACACACACACACACAGCAGATATTACAATAAGGTAACATATTTGTTGATGTCTCGGGCTTGGCGAATAAACCCAGACCCTAAATCTGGTTTCCTTTCCACCTGTTGTGCTCTGTTAAAGTCAGTTTCTCTGCTCACTCCCACTGCATGTGTTCGGTGTTTTCTTTAACATTTTGACACATTTAAACCCACATTTTAGCATTAATGAGTCATTTAGCACATACACAAACCTATACATGTGCTCCCAAAAGTGTTATTTCAAAGTAAAAGCACACAAAAACCCAGTCAACGCCTAAAATATTGGTAGTGCTTCCATACACACAAGGCCTGTTACACTGTACAAGCTATGCTCACACTCTCTCACACTCTCACACACACACACACACACACACACACACACACACACACACACACACACACACACACACACACACACACACACACACACACACACACACACACACACACACACACACACACACCATTTATTACAATAAGGTTGCATCTTTTTTGATGTCACACACTCAGTTTATCCTGGCTTGGCAACAAACCCGAGTCTAAATCTGGTCCACCTGTTGGGGTCTGTAAGAGAGAGTTTAACACTCAAAGTGATCTGTGCCCACATGTATTTTGTGTTTTCTTTAACAACTTTTCGAATTTAAACCCACAATTTTAACAACATTGTGTGATTTCAGACCTATACAAATGGTAAAAAAGTAATAATTTCAAAATAAAAGCACACAAAAACCCAATCCTAGACTAAAATATTGGTAGTGGTGGTTTGGGAAAATGCTTAGTTTCAAATAATAATGTTTTTAACTTGCACATGTGGTGTATTCTTGAACTGTGACAGGGTTTGAATGTTCTATTTTAGCCCAAAAGTTACAAATATGTGTAAAATGAACCTCATTTAAGGACAATCCAAGAAAATCTGTTCACCACCGGCACTTATACACCTACTTATTTCAGGCTTTTATGCCCTTTAACACCTAAATATGAATCCAATCCTCAAACAAAATGGACTGGACTTAAAGTTAAAGTTAAAGTGAATCAGGGTCTCACCCTCTTTGTTCTTGGCGCCGTCATACTTCAGTCCGCAGCCTTTGTTGTAGCAGAGCAGAGCCATGTTGGCCTGTTGGATTCTGGGATGTCTTCACAGATTAAAATCCTCTCTTATTGTCCTGTCTCCTGCTCTTAATGCTTTGAGGACTTCCAGAAGTTTCTCAGGACAGAAAGGAAAGGTCCAGATCTTCTCCTGGAGAGAGCAGAAAGAAAGAGGGGGTCTCTCTCTCTCTCTCTCTCTCTCTCTCTCTCTAGGCTGAATGAAAGTTAAAAATAGCAGCTCCCTCCTCTCACCCCTCGCTCAATTTACAGCTGTCAAAACTTATCTGGAGTTTGGGGGGGGCGGGGGCTGGGGGCTGTCACAAGCTGTGGCCGACAGAAGCCACAACAGGACTGACAGATCCAGTCTGGACCAATCACAGGCCTGGTTCCTCAGGAGAAGCAGACTCACAGATTCAAAGGCTTTAAAGGTCACCTATTATGCAAAATCCTCTTCTTCATGTCTCTTCTACATCAACATGTGTCCCCTCTTCTTCATGTCTCTTCTACATCAACATGTGTCCCCTCTTCTTCATGTCTCTTCTACATCAACATGTGTCTCCTCTTCTTCATGTCTCTTCTTCATCAACATGTGTCCCCTCTTCTTCATGTCTCTTCTTCATCAACATGTGTCCCCTCTTCTTCATGTCTCTTCTACATCAACATGTGTCCCCTCTTCTTCATGTCTCTTCTACATCAACATGTGTCCCCTCTTCTTCATGTCTCTTCTACATCAACATGTGTCCCTTCTTCTTCATGTCTCTTCTACATCAACATGTGTCCCCTCTTCTTCATGTCTCTTCTACATCAACATGTGTCCCCTCTTCTTCATGTCTCTTCTACATCAACATGTGTCCCCTCTTCTTCATGTCTCTTCTACATCAACATGTGTCCCCTCTTCTTCATGTCTCTTCTACATCAACATGTGTCCCCTCTTCTTCATGTCTCTTCTACATCAACATGTGTCCCCTCTGTGGAAAGAGACTCTGAACGTTTCAGGAAAAAAGATTCTCTCTCTTTTTGTCCTGATCCATTTTTATAAAAACCTGTCTGAAAACACCAGAACGCCGACACCTCCTCATCACTCCACCACTCCCATGTTTTTTTTTGTGTTGCCATAATTTATTCTCTCTCCGTTGGTGCGCGGGGCTAATGCTAATGCTAATAATGCTAATGCCACAAATACAATGGCGGCTTCAAAAAACTTTTCTGAGTTTTACGGGGGAAGGGGAGGGGCTCCTTATTTTCATCTAAAGTAACAGACAGAGAATCAGCACTTTGGAAACAGGGCTGAAACAGAGGGGATTATGGGTAATGCTGCAATGATCTGTTTGGTGTTTGTAGCCAAACACTTCAGAGACATGTTTTGTATATATCTGAGACCTGTAATATGTTGATGAAAAACAGTATAATAGGGGACCTTTAAAAGCTATTACAACATCTTTATTCCAGCTTTTGTAGCCAAAGTACCAATTATGGATTATTGGCACAATTAGACACGTAGATGCAACACAACGATATGTGATTTTAGTACAAGTTACTCCGAAACAATCACCATTAATATGCTGCTCTGGGTGCTTTTACTTCTTCTTGACTGGCTTTGCAAAGGATTTAGTAACCTGGCAGCTGGGATATTCTCCAAGTTCATCCCAAAGTGTGTGGATCGAGGTCAGAGCGCTGAAGAAGCAGTAAAGTTCCTCCTCATCAAACTGGGAAAGCCATTTTCTTTATGGACCTGGTTTGAAGCAGAGAGGCATTGTTAAGGGGAAAAAAGGAAGAGGACCTTATTTAAACTCTTAACCCAAAGTTAAAAGGTTCACCATTGTCTAAACTTTGATTTTAAAGGCATACTTAACCCACAAAATGATCTTTTATATATCTTGTTAATACTTTTTCTCAGGGGCGCTCCTTGCGAACAGGCAAGGCAGGCAACTGCTTGGGGCCCCGGACCAGAAGGGGTCCACAGCAACGACAACATGAAACACAATTTAATTTACTGCAACGACATGACGGGTAACCCCCTCAAGGCGGCCCCATGCATAGCGCGCCGTAAAATGCTGCTTCTCATCTTAAAGTGGACCGATCATGCTATATTTGAATAATATAGTGTAGGGCCATACCTATATAAGGTATATTTATACGTTTTCTTTTTCAAAATACCAAACAGATCATGCATTTTAGCCATGCCTCATTTCGCTCTATTTTGCTCTCCTCCACCCTGTCTTTGCATGCGCTGCAGCTGACCACGCCCCCCTGCAAAGGAGGGGCCCGAGTTACGAGCGTCAAGTTACCATGCTGTTACCATGCTGTTACCATGCTGTTACCATGCTGTTACCATGCCACGGCAACCTCTCATTCCCCTGATAGGTCAGCTCCGCCGTCCTGACGTCAGAGGACTGTTCAAATCTGCATCAGTCTGTATCAGAGCCGTTGCAGCCCCTTTTTTTAGAGATTTGGGTATGGAGGAAAAGAGAGAGGGTTGTGTTTTCTGACACTTGGTGAGTTCCCTGGAACACCGGGGACACATATTCATGTAGAAAAGACGTACAAAAGTGCATTTTGCATGATAGGTCCCCTTTAAGTTTCGTTGCCTTGCTCCGCTCCAGGACGCTGTGCGTGGTGATGAAAAGCTGGTTCGAGGGCCCCCACCGACTCTAGGATCGCCAGTGCTTTTTCTCACATGGTGATAACATGATCGACCATCTATGAAGTCTTCGTTGGCGATTGAGTGGAAGAACAATTTCAAAGCTAGTTGGGTGAAGAGCAAAAACAAAATCAGAGCTTTTAGTGGAGTTATTTGCTCTTCCTTCAGAGAGAAAATGCTATAGTTATTATATAAATGATGCTTAAACAGAACCTAATCTTCAGGAACTGCCATTGTTGTTTTAGAAAAAAACTGTAGCATGTCAGTGTCACATCAAGATAACCATGCGAACATAACAAATCAAATAAAAATAATGTAATTTTGCGGCCAAACTAGGTCTTAAATCAGTGGTTTTGGTCACAAGACAAACATAACTGTATTATCTAAAGAAGGCAACGCATTAATGTGCAATATTGCTGTTAAAAACAATTATTTGTACTTTTAATACCCGTTATAATTCACAAAATACATTGTTTTTACTTCAGAAAGCAAACAGAAAACCAATATATTCAGTATTTTATTATTTCAAATGCAGTGTTTGAAGATTAGCGGCTGGTTCATAACAGTGGTGTGTTATTAAAATTGGATTAATTCCCATTAAGAGAGCAGCTGTTAAACAGAAGGAGTATTATTAATAGCTGTAGGTCATGTACTAAGTGTGTTCATCAGTAATGACGGCTATCATGTTGCAGAGTGTTTTTTTACAAGCTGTTTTTTTGTTGTTTTGTTCCCAAATATCCATCATGCGGCGCAGAAAGACAAATAGCCGTTGCTGGTTGTTGACTGTAAATTATTCACTAAAGACAAAGCAGTGCTGTTTGTCAGCCGCACTGTGTTTGAATGATATATTTCCCACTAAGAACCATTTCATCAAAACTCCTGAAATGCGACCGAATGCATCACCCCGGCGTCTGTGAGAGCCTCTCGGTGTGGGGGAGGAAACACATGTACACAAACACTTTCATTATTCAGAGCTCGGTGGGAGTCAGGAGGGGAACTCGTGTTTTGAATCCCTCACCATGGGAGCTGCAGCTGTTGTAACGGAATCAGAGCGAGTGTTTCAGGTTAACGTGTTGAGACAAGCGGGGATATACAGGTGTATTTATGTATACAGGTGTACACACAAACATGTAAACAGTCATACACACTGGGAACGAGCTGTAATGCATGTTTTAGTTTGAACGTTTCCCACCATTATATGAAAACAGTACTATTAACATGACGTAAAGAAAGGCATTTAAAAACCACCTGGAGCTGCATAGAAATATCCGGTAACACTTTATATTAACGTACACAAATTCACCATCACCTAGTTGTTAATTAACATGCATATTGGCTCTTTATGACTCGGTATAAAACACTTATTAATGCCTTATTCCAGCGGTTCCCAACCTGTGGGCCGTGGCCCCCTAGTGGTCCGCGAAGGCATTGCAAGTGCTGCCAAATAATTTGCAAAACATTATGATTTGTGTGGAAACATTTCATTATTACGATTTTTATTTGTATTTTAACCTCTTTTCCTTTCTTTCTTGATCCTCCTTAGCAACGGTCATTACAGTCCTTGACAGCGGTCTGTTCTACTGGATTAACAATGTGTCACATGTTCTGAATTGACCAATCAGAATCGAGTATTCAACTAAACCGTGTAATACAAATGTCTGTTTGTTACTGATAGCCAGCTCCTTTTTCTAATTGAAATAAAAAGGCCATTAGTTGAGTTTTTCCTCAATAACCCTCTAATTAGTGCTTATTTATTACAAGTAAGGAAGTTGTTGGACATGAGTTTTGCCTAATAAGGCAGAAGTACCACAAGAATAGTAATTCTCCCATAATAACAAATATGATCTATTCTTATGTAACAAGACATGAAACTACAAGTGTTAATTGTGTCAAAATGACTCAAAATGTGGTATTTCGATCTAAGAATATAACTCAAACATGCCAATCACAGAATAATTCAGAGCTCATTGAGTAGAACTTAAAACTGACAAAATGCTAATTGAAGATCTCACTAGAAAAGGAGCTGAATAATACAAAATATATATTCTCAGGCCCTCTGGCGGTGCATTAGAAATCAGACTGTTGACACTTCAAGGCCTTGCATTTTTAGTACCTGAGCTTTAAAATTAAATTTTAAGTGTTTGAGTCTCTGTGGCTGTTCCTTTGGCAAATGTAAAAAATAAAATAAAATAACCAAGACGAGTCGATTAGGAATGGAAAATGACTTTTTATTTCTTCCAAAAAAAGAGAGAAAACAGATCCCTAGAATAAACAAATATACTGCTGTAAAATAAAAGCCTGTGATTTTTTTGTCAACTGTAACATCTGTTTTTGCCTTTCCATGCTTGATACAATCCATATAATTCTGCTTTAAATAAATAGAAAAAATGTACAAAGAGATGTGGGGGGGGGGGGGATGGGGGATGGGGGGGGAGACAGAGAAGCGAGGGAGACAGATTAAAAATTGTACTCTGCTCAAAAAACATTTGGCATCATTGAGAATTCATGGCTGATCCTGAAAACCTGCGTCGTCTGTCTGTTCGTCCCGTCCCCACGGAGGAGTAATCATACCTATATACTGCTGTAATAACACTAATATCTTTCAAAAAAATAAAGAGTAGATTAAAAAATAATTGCAGATTATGAGAGTATGTGTTTAAGCTCTGTGTTGTGAGTGTGTGTGTTTCTTTATATACAGAATAGTGAGGCAGCAATCCGAGGGTTTCTTACCAAAAAACACAGATGTAGAAAAAACAGAACGTGCACAAGAGATCTTTGATTCAACACACGGACGACAATGTATCTGTTAAACAGCCTCTCTGTTTCGGTTCATTTTTGTGTTTTTTTTTTACACGGTTGCAACGCATTGGGCGACCACTAGATGGCGCCACTTTGAGAAACCGGAAATCTGTGCTGCAGATAAGAAATGTGACATCTTTGGGAGAAGTAACACAAAAAGATTTGAGCTCCGTTTTTGCTACAGTGGCTCGTTTAGCGACAGAACAAACGTCTGTCAGATTCAGTCTCTGTCGTGGACGGCAAACAAACGGTCGAGAAATGTTGATCGACCTCGCCCCTTCGCCTTTTTCAAGAACCATTTAAAAAACGGGGACAACAAGAGGAGGGAATTTATCTTCATCATCACCATCACTGTCATGCTTTTTCGGAAAAAGGACAACGAACAACGATACAACCATGCGCTCGCCAGAAAGGAGTCTGCTCTCCGAATGTTTGACACACTTGGCCTTAGCAGAGAACAGACGTTTTAATATGACATCAACGTTTATCCGTGTTTCCTTCTCCACCTCGATTCATGCTACAACAATGCAGAGAGGCGGTAGCAGCTTTTTGACGTAGAGAGAAAACCACGACGTCTGATCCCAAAGGTTGACATCAAAAAAAGAAACAGTGGTTGTCCTGGGAAACTCCCGGCTGTAAATGTGAAGAAAGTCTGAATTTTAAAGGGAGGGAGTTGCCGAAAAACGAGCCCGCATGCTCGGCCAAAACCCCTCCCTGGATAAATACTGAAGAAAATGACCTACATTATAAATCCGTGATGATTACCGGCACTTACATCGACCCTAAGGACACCAGCCAGTAAAATGTTACGAGACCAAAAACCACAGTCGTCTCCACGCTCTCTATCCAACGAACACTTTGAAAACCACTCGAGACAAACAGACAAAGACAATCTCATCGCAACAGGCAGGACTGGATGCCATGCAGAAGTTTAGAAAACAGAAAGGAAAGAAGAAGGGACCAAGAAGAAACCAAAATTGCAGGTTTAGATTGAAAAGGAACAAGTTATTCAGGGTGAGTCGAACGTATTTGAGTTTGGGTATTTTGCCAACAAACAACTGGCACAGACTTTACTGTCTTTCAAATCTATATTCTGAGAAGGTAATTACAAAACATCAAGAATCGCCCTGACCTGATATGAATAACTGTTTCTAAGATCCAGGGTGGTGATGATCTGATTCTGGATCAGTGCCACACGGCGGGTAACAGCTTCTCTTTCTAAACTGCCCATTTCCAAATGCCTTATGTCCCTGAAACAAAGAGCCGTGATTAGAGCTAATTTTTTTAGTGCTAACATCAATTAAGATAATTGTTTAATGAGAGTCCAAGTTGGAATCCAATTAGCCGAGTATTGATAAACGCCAGAAAGTAGATTTTTGTTCAAGTTTTTTTTTTAAAAGGTGTTTTGTCTTTGACTTCCCAGGTGATTCCCTCGCTACTTGCCAAACTTTTGAATGAACTTTACAAGTGGCTAGTTAACCAGATAACCTTTCAAACTGCTGCTTAAATCAAAAAGCATTCAGGGTTAGCCAATTTCCAATCCGACATGCCTGACTGGCTTCATGTCTTTCAGAAATCCAACAAAAGTCTCCCATTTGTCACTCAACCTGCATATGCAAGAATCCGATTGGCTGTTCGGGTTCAACAGTCCAATCGGAGACAGTTTGTAGGCTGCTGACATCATAATGAGAGACAGAGGTGGCCGATGTTGTAGATATAAAAACAAAAATATAAGATGACCTTATCTAACCAGACACTGGAGCGATGCTAACAGCGAGAAGAAAATAGCGCACTCAAAGCGAACCACAAAGCCTGAGAGCCTACGAAAAGTCTACAGCTAAAGGACAGAGACACCAAGAGAGATACTAGAGCTATAGATACTAGACACTGGCAGAGGGGAGGACACGGTGGGAAATCTACTTCTTCTATAAGGAGGATACTATGAGAGGCTAAGCTAACACAAGACTGCGACAAGAAGCGTCTAAGAGCAATATCTATCCAACAGCGACAGTGATGGGTGGGAGCAGACAATCTAGACAGGAACTGGTTATTTATTACTATTTTTTTTTGTACATATCTACACATACCAAACAGTGACGAAGCAGGCTAAAAAAAGCATTCTAGAGATAGACCAACTAGACAGAGTTGAGAGGCTGAAGCGAGATGGTGAAGATGGTGAGCTATCACTGGGATGTGGATTTGGGATGGGACTACAAAAAGTTTCAAGTTCGTTGTTAGAATGGCAGGAAAAATTATTTTTGCTACCCGCCAAAGTGGCCGGTAGATTAGAACAAACGTGTTATTTGTAAAACCTCAAACGATTTCTACAAACTTCAAATCTCTTTCTCAACTTTTTCACACCACATCTGGCGACAGCTCCTCTTGCGGCAGGTTAGTCACTTCAGTGCAACATTTTTGCAACAAAATTTAGATTTGACAAAAACAAAAAAAGAAAGCACATTTTGTGTCAAACTCGCTGGCTCAAATTTGGCTCGAAATCTGACACAATTTGACCCTCAGAAATAGCCCTCAATGGAAAACATACACACGTGAACACGCACACAAAAAGCATTGTAAAGACCGACAGTCGAACTCATGGTGACGGATGCTTTGGCTAAAGAATGGTTATGACTTCTTACACAGATTTGATCCCCTGGAGCCACGGAGCGGTGCCAAAAGTTCAGTGTTGTTATGGCTCTCGTGCAGACGGAGTTGCACTCACTTTGATTCAGTGCAATTTAAAGTGAATTCAACTCGATTCAATAAAATGTATCCCTCACTCAGTGCTGCTGTCATCAATAATTGGCACATAATGTGGATCTGCCAATAATAAGGTGTAGCAAATGAAAAAGCTCTTATTTCTAGAAACCTTTGATGTCTGAATCTTGTTGGTCAGCTGATGAGGACATGAAGAACAGATACACAGAGATCAACAAGGGGTGCTAACACGATGCTAATGATGCTAGTTAACAATTCGTAGTGGCTTTAGCGTAAATAATACAATAAAATGTGTTTTATTTTACGTTCTACTGAGCGTTACAGGAGCCAACATGTGTCAAGATAAAGGTGTAACACTTTGTCTGGCTAATCACTTTCTGGAAAGAGGGATGATTTATAGACCAAAATATGTCAAGTCATACTTGTCTTGTTAGCAATCAAGCTAACACACTTTCTAACTGACAGTTTGAATGCTAGCTAGCTTTGAGAGATTTGTTTCCCCTTTTTAATAACTTTTTATTTGATTAAATAACTAGAATAAAATGCCAAAAGGGACCACAGAGTTGAGTTGATATAATGAAGCACATGAGTAAATGTGGCCGCTAGCACTAGCTAACAAGGTGTTAGCCGTTAGCCTGCCAGCTATAGTAGTCCTGCGAGGATTTACGACACCACCATGCTTTCAAAACCACATTTCTCAGTAAAGCACGGATGAATTTTGCTGCATCACTCTCTTGCGTGACTAGGCTTTAAGATGTTTGGTTCACAGACAATTTAGACGCCGTGCTAACATGTTATCACCGCTAATCCCAGTCGCTCTGTGTGTATCTGTACTTTAGGGAGAAGAAAATAATGCAGTATGAGTAACAAAGACCTAAGCTTAAAAACCCATAACAACAAACGCTCAACTACTATTAACAAATGGTTCAACAAATTGCTGTACAAGCCCCGATAACATTCAGGAGAGGCTGCAGAAGAAAAATACACAGATATCCCCAACAGAGCGGAAAATTACGGGAAACACACTCGAGAAGGTTTGCCTCGCTGATTGGACGGTCGTGGTCACAGACAGCGAACAAAGACTATGGAGAGGAGGTCGGTTGTGAAGGTATTGTCTGAAACAACTACAAGTACACACACACACACTTCCACACACACCTGTCCTCCCTTAAGTGCTCCCAGGTTGCCGTTGCAGGCAGACAGTAACCCAGAGAGGACAAAATAGCACCAGTATGAAATAAAGCTAATTCTGCAGCAGAGACTTTCTCAGAGGTAGGATTTCCCTCTTCTCTACTCCGCCATCTTTCTTCACATCCCTATTCCCTCTCCTGAAGCAATCACTCCATCGATATGATTTGAAAACACAAAATAGACAGAAAGAAGCCACACACACACAGTTGTTTCAGACAATGACCAACAAGGATGATATTTCCTCCAACACATCCCTCCATCTTCTTTCCGGTCGTGTTCCCCTCCGCTTTCCAACTTGTGTTTTCGGTGTCGGTTTGTTATTTGTTGTCTGTCTGTCTCTTAGTCGTTTTAGCTCGTCCATCGGATCGTTCCTCATGTGTGTTTTCTTCTGCTGTTTGTTTGTCGCTTTTTGGCACTCTGCTTCCCCCCCCTGAGTGGATTACATAAACTGCATCTGAATAGACAAGGGGAGAAAAAATAAGTGGGATATATAAACGGAGAAACTGCTTATTTAGGTCATTTTACCAATGCAATGAAAAATGACTTTGGCATACTGCTTCGATACAAACAATGCATTTATCATACACTAAAACAGGTCAATAAAATAGCTTTAAGATACACAAAAGAATATATATATTTACAATTTATCTCTTTTACTATCTATCTATCTAAGCCTGACTTTTGATAATAAATAACATTTTACACATGCACAATTTTAACACTAACTTTTCCAATTAACATATCTATACCGAATGCTAGCCATAGGTTGTCATATTATCACTTTTATTTTACACATTGCATTAATAAAAACATAAAAAATATCCTGGTTAAGTCATTTCATTGCATTTGACCATATAAGACATGTAACACTCTTTTATGAAATGTTACATTAACGGATTGATTAAATACCTTTTCAGTTGCAAAGGTGTCGTTTTGTGTGTATGAATGCACAAGTACAGGATAGCTGACCTGGGCTCCGGGCATGGGTGCAAAGGGGTTTGTGGGTCTGAGGACCGGCTGGTTGTACATCATCGGCTGAGGAGCCATCACCTGAACCCCCCCCATGTGACCCATCTGGGGAGGGACCTGCAGAGAGAGGGGGGGGGGGGGGGGAAGTGTTAGAAAAACCCACAAGTTTACATCATAAGCTGATAAGTTGTTTGTTGATGTTTCAAGTTTCAATCATTAAAGCTTGTGGTGATATGGTCTGTTACACCCGCATGACGTCATCGGAGCTGCCGTGCCTGTGTGCCGGTGATATGTTTACTTATTCAGTTTAGTTTATGACGGTGGATAATGAGACGACGGTGTATAATTAAAGACGGTGTATAATTAAAGATCTGAACTGGAAAAGTCTGTTCTCCGTGTTCTTTTACCGGGACACACCCATCCACAATTTCCTGGAGACCCCCCCCCCATCTCCTTTACAGAAAGCAACAAAAATGGTTGTAAGAGTAAGAGATAGGGAAGAGACTGAGAAAGCAAGAAATCAATAAATAAGCAAATGGAAATTGTCCAGTTGAGAAGCTACTTTGGGACATTCAATATGATCTGAACTACAGATGAAGCAAATACTTTACATACTGAATTATTGAACAGTTTATCTTTTAAAATAGCCAAACAATAGCTGTTTTGGTTTGCTAAATTGTGTGAGGAGTTTCTCTCTTATCTCAGTTTAAAAATTGATTTGGTCAGACAAAACTAGATTTTTTAAGATGTCATTAAGCTAAGAGATAGAGGGAAGAGCGAAGAGAGTGAGAAAGCAAGAAATCCATAAATCAGCAAATGGAAATATGATCTGAACTACAGATACAACAATTACTTGATACATTTAAGAAAACTGAAGAAGACTCACTGAATTAATTGAATAGTTTATCGAGTAAAATAGTGAAACAATAGCTGTTTTTTTTGTGAAGATGTTCTCTCTCTTTCTCAGTTAAAAAAAATATGGAAACTGGATATATTTGGTCAAACCAAGATATTTTAAGATGTCATTTTAAACTCTGAAAGCTGTATTTTGTTGCTTTTTCCCGACATTTTACAGATGCAACAATGGTAAGATACGGTAAACCAATAAGGCAAACCATTTCCTGCATGTATGAAAGTGTGTTAATTAAACTGTATATATTGTGTATTGCACTTACCATTCCATACACAGGCACTTGCGGTGTGTTCATGGGAAAAGCCATGGGAGCTGGAGCCTGTCAGCAGGTAGAAAAAGCATAAGTCACACCTGGGTCACATATTGTACGCCTTTTTGTTAGCCTTCAAATACGGAAAAAGCTACCATGGAATAAAGGACTTTAATGGACACGAGAGCAATTACAGTTTAAGCGCTCTTATTAAATGTAAAAACACACAATGTATGTGCGAGGAGAACACGTTGAATGCTGAAGTGCGGACATTAGGAGCGCAACAACACAGCGTGAAGCAGAGGATTCCCACTGGGAGCAATCATTACAGCCGCTTTAAAAAGGGGTGGCTCAATAGCACGGCGTTTAGCCCTGCTCTCCTCACTCCACAAATCAAATCCACTACGGCTGAACGGGCTTCAAATTCAACGCGACGGGCAATTTGTAGCCGTCGTTTACAACCCACGCACATTCTCCCTCAAAACAAAAGCTGCCGATTTCTGCTCGGCAAATTGGCAATTCATACGAAGCGAGGAGTGTTTGAAGGTGCATTACAGCGAACGCACCGGAGGAAAATCAGTTTATCGAGGCGAGGATGCATCGCAGGGTACAACAATCTATCACAGGAGTATTAATATGAACAGATGTGAGATGGGATTTGTATCGCCTGAGGTCATTTCACCTGACAGCTACTTTCAAATAAAGCAAATAAGGATCTCTGTGGGATTTGGGTTTACCTGCAAGCATTTTATATATGTTTCAGGATAATACCAGCAGGATTCCCCCCCGACCCCCTGCCCCTTCAGTATTTGCTGCAGTCGGAGTTTTAAACGTTTTTTCTCCCGCTCACCCGGAAGTAGGCGACGCGCTCCCACTGTTTCTCTGGAAAGCCATTAAAAAAAAAACAGCTTGCAGAAACACGCCGCTGTCTTCACTAACCCCAATCCATCACCGTAAATGAGGCATTTTTCTTGACGTGACTTTATAACGCCTCAATCATTGCAGAGGTATTACAAAGTACTCCCACAGCTCAGAGTCTCTAACAGTGCACAGAAATGAAGAAAAATGTACAATACGCAGTAATTATCCGTGTGAAACCATATATTACTTCAACAGTCTTACCTAATATGATGAAATCAAAAGTAACAAAAAGGTATTTTTTACGTGGAATAATTAACCTGCACTCGTATTATCCTTTAATTGCTACTTAAGCAATGACGCATTAAACAAGGCGTTTAAGAAATAGCGCGTTACGCTGCTTGATCTTAAAAAAAAAGTCATAATTTAATGTTTGAGTCTGTTTACAATGTGCACATCTCTTCATACTGACCTACAAATCACATGTTCAGACACTATTGGCACCAGTTTCAATGTCAATATTATTAAACATACGGATAGGGGAAGTGTTTGCAAACATTTCTACTTCCTTATAATATAATCCCAAAAGAAAAATAAACAAATGTAACTTCCTTTAGACTGAAATCATACAAATGATGATGTTGTCAGTGTCTGCTTCTACTTATTTACATATAGGCATCATTGAAAGTGTGCCAAATGAGCCATTAGCATTTTGTGATTTGTTATTTAATGTAACGTTAACAGGCGCTGGTTTACTTTGATAAACGGTGTCAGCCGAATCTCGTAACAGATCATGTCTGTTTGTTCACATTTGAGTTATTGACTTTTATTACCACTGAGAATTTGCTTAACTCAGCACTTTTTCTAATGTCTCTCCCTCTAGGTCTTTTCTATCTATATTTACAGCGACACAATATATTCAATACATACAATTTCATCTGTAGTTTGTATTACTTTACAGTCTGTTTAGATTCTGGTGCTTAAGGTGTTATTTAAATGACGCTGTGATGCATCTACAGCATATTTTTACCTCATTTAGGACAGATTTTGAGTTGCCATCTAAAGGTCCGTACACACCAAACTGACACCAAAGAACACGTCCCGACTGTTGTGTCGCCTCGCGTCTCTGCGTCTTGGCCATGTGTCGCACTGGAACACACCGCAAAGACTTCAGCCGACGGCCAAGTAGCACGTACGAACTGCGCATGCGTGAGTGGCAATAACTCTCCTTACCAGCAGGCGGCGGTAGTGTGTATTCGTCATTCAAAAAGAGGCAACAACCAGAAGACAGACTGCGCGATACACCGAGAGAAGAAGAACAGACTGCGTGATAACCGAGAGAAGAAGAACAGACTGCGTGATATAAACAAACAACAAATAGCGTGCGTTCCATGTTCACTCTACAGCGAGAAGCTCATGGGGCTTTCCCGAACCTGTGTCGAGAGCTGGAGTTAAAGGAAATCTCAGATTTGCCTTCAATAGTTTGTTTGGGTCCCTCACTTCAGTTTCGCTTCTCATGCACTGATTCGCTAAGCTGAACAGCCAATCGGAGTGATTTCTTTGGCCGACGGCCTTTAGCCGATGCCTCCCGATTCAACATGTTGAATCGGGAGGCGGAAGGTGTCGGCACGGCCGCAAAGACACGCCGGTGCGGGACACACCAATCTGAGTAGGGCGACACAACGCTCATCGGCGGCCCGACATCTATCGACATCTATCGACGGCCGAAATCGTCTTGGTGTGTTAGGGACTTCAGAGTGTAAGGCCATAATTAACAGTAGAACTTTTATTTTTAAGGGATTTAAAAAACAACAACGCTCTGTTGTACACGCTAAGGGAGGACAGGAAGTGATATCTTGCTAAAAAAGAGATGAATCTAAAGGCCTGTGGTGGGGGTCAGGTGAACAGGGATCTGATCTCAGGAGGAAATCAATGTGATCGATCGGGGATCCGCCATTTAATTCCTGCCTATAGGGAGCAGGCTGTGAAAGCTGATCAGAACCATTGATCAACCAGCAGGAAGGAAGGAAATATAATCCAATTCAAGTCAGATCTCTCACTTGGTGGCTATTTGAAACCACGATGAAAGAAATAACTGACTGTACTTTCATGTGCACCTGAAGCATGATTTATTTAGCAAACCATCTGTCTCCGAGTGTGACTGGGCGGTCTTTCAGGTAAAAAATGACAGAGGGCATCACTTTATTTTGAAAGCATGACAAGAACAGAGCAGGTGAGACGCTGTTTATGCACCACTACACCTTCTCCATCTGTCTTCTGCTGTCACGCTTTACATTCATGCGTTTGTCTGCATCCGTCTTCTCATTCTCGACCTGTGTCTCGCTCACCAGTGTTTTAATTCAAATCTGTCCTTTCTACATCTTTAAAACCAAGACTTCCAGAGCTGAACTTTTGCCGTCTGCAACTCTCTTCTCGCTAAGCTTCCTCTGACCTCATGTTTAAGTGAAGGTGAAGACGTGAGGAGGGCTTTTGCAGGATTTCTGGCTGGTATTTTTAAGCGAGCACAGACGTTGAGACTTCTGCCGGGGGGAGTCTCAGATGTGGGAGTTTCACTTATCATGCATGATACTTGATGTGTTATATATCACTGCCACATGCTGCTATGAATTTTAAAATCATGTCTGGGCTCATGGAAGTCATGTTTCCTGGTTTTAAAGTCTTATTTATTGACTGTAGATTAGCTTTTTCAGGGACAAAATTGAGCAGCTCCATTAAAGGAGCCCTATAATGCTCATTTTCACATTCATATTTGTATTTTGTGACATGTTTTCCATTATTTAATGTTCAAAAAGTGCTGCTCTGGTGAGTATTTACGCTGTGTAGTCGACTGAAAATAAACTACAGTGTTTGCTTATCGTAGTGTGCAACAGCAACTGATGTTTTTTTAATAGTGTTTGGACAAATATGAAGGTTTATAGCACAGAGGAATAAAAATGAAACTGTGTAATAAAAAATGAAAAGGTTTAAAATCCACAGGCGATATTTTAATAGTAAAAGTCCGTTGATGTTTTTCTCATTTAAATGGTATTTGTTGACAATAAGAACAATAGAGAATATACCAGGCTTATCCTTTCAAAGACAGGTAAAGAAAGTAATAGTGTGTCTGACTTCCTGGTATCAGACAGTTGACTTAATGCTTACATAACTAGCACCATTAGCCTTTAGCACAGAGGTGAGAGGGCGATTTGAGGAAACAAAATGGACTTTTATAAAGAAACTTGTCTCCATAGAAAACAGAAAAATAAAGATTGAGAAGGAGACAAGAGGAAGACAGCAAGAGGGAGATTGAAAACACATTATATGAGTCATATAGAAGTGATTAAGACGTACTAAACAGGCATAAGTACTTACATAACTAGTATAGAACATTCCATTCTGCATCAGGACGCAACAAGAAGAAAAAGACAGAAGACGGAGAGAGAGAGAGAGAGAGAGAGAGAGAGAGAGAGAGAGAGAGAAGATGGAAGAAATTGAGGAGATGATGAAAGAGGGAGGCGTACAAAGGTATGATGAAAATGTGTGTGTGAGTGTGTGTGTGTGTAGAAAGATGCAAAAATAAGTCAAAAAGAAGTATGAGAGGTCAAAATACGGACGGCCAGATGTCAAAGGTAGTGCGGGGAAAACAGGACGAACAGATGACCGGGCGAAACGAGAGAAAACAGGCGAAGAAGGGAAGGAAGGCGAGTGCATGACGGTGCAGAAACAAAAGGGAGAAATGCATGAAGAGGACGAGCGGGACAGGAAGGAGAGGTGAGGGGGGGGGGCGAGAGAAAGGTCCAACAGGAAGGAGAGAGAGAGAGAGGGAAGTCAAAAAAGAAAAGGGAGACAGAGAGGAAGCGGAGGGTTAGTGACAGTTTGTCCTCGTCAGCCAAATGTGCTGTCCAGAGATCATGAGGACACACACACACACACACACACACACACCGAGCATTCAGTGGGAAGCAGATTTTAGATTTGGTGTTTTATAAGCGAGGTGTCTGCAAGTTGTATTCAGAACATGCAACACGTCTCACGAGTTATTCAAGAAGATCCAAACTAAATATTTAAACTAATGAACAGCACGTTCTGTTTTAGGACATGTGCTTTTTGTTAAATTAGGTTAGACGTTACGTTACCATTCTATCTTACGGTTACATCTTGTAGACATTTCCAGAACCTACACACACCTAAACGGATCCTTATTAAGGGTAATTATTTTCTGTTACAATCATTGCTGTAGTTTTGGGCATCATTCATGAGATCTTGGAAAGTCAAAAACAAGAGCACTCGGACATCAGATCGACTTTGATCGACTGCCATCTCTGGTGTTCGAGTGTGTTTCCGTCTCCTTACCACGTGTTGTACAGGCATGGGCTGGGGGGCCATGGGACCCGGACCCCACTGAGTGGTCGACATGGTCTTATTGTGCCAGTTGTGTCCTCCCGTCAGCTTCTTCTCTCCCTGATGGTTCCACTGCATCTCTGGCCTGTAGAGGGACGAGCTGCGCCACGAGACAAACAAACACAGCGTCAGGATCTTTCTGTTCTGCAACCTGAGGCACCTTCAAAACACCCGAATCATGTCTTGGAGGATAGCAACCAACTATGTGCAATGTGAGCGTCCTTAACAACGGTCAATAAGTCATTGACAGCGGTCTGTACAACTGGATTAACAACGTGTCACGTGTTCTGAATTGACCAATCAGAATTGAGTATTCAACTAAGCCATGTAATAAATAAACTTAACACAAAAAGTAAGGCAATTTGTGTTTGGTAGATGATTTCTATGTTGTAACAATGCTTTTTGGCAATAAATCGTATACCGTTGGAAAGCCTGTTTTCTTACCTATCCAATTGTTGCCAATATGTCTTTATTTATTATACTTCAAATCATCCAATCCACCAAACAAGAGTCAGCAGCAAAAAAAAGCTGGCATTGGCAGAGGAGATTTGTCAAATTTTTCATGGGCGCACCCCACACACTCGGCTCTGGGGCGCACCCCACACACTCGGCTCTGGGGCGCACCCCACACACTCGGCTCTGGGGCGCACCCCACACACTCGGCTCTGGGGCGCACCCCACACACTCGGCTCTGGGGCGCACCCCACACACTCGGCTCTGGGGCGCACCCCACATACTCAGCTCTGCTGCTCCTTCCACAAATGCATGTTCCTCACAAATGTGGTACCATTGGAAAGGTAAGAAAACAGGCTTTCCTACAGTATAAGATGTATTGCCAAAAAGCATTGTTACAACATAGAAATCATCTACCAAACACACATTGCCTAACTGTGCAATATATACCTGGCCGCTAAACCCTCAGAACTGTTACAGGATGTGTATTTTGTAAATTGTGTAACTTTTTTTATTATAATTTTTGTATCTTTAATACTTTGTTATGCATGCTTGTTAGTTAACATTAGGCTGTCTGTGGCTCTTTTCTGCTGCAACATTGTAAATGTCCCCTCTGTCGGACTAATAAAGGTATTCTGATTCTGATAAAAAATGCAACAGTTCTGCAGAAACATGAATGTGAATCTGTGAGCAGCAGCGATTACATTTTACAGTCTGAAGAAGCACTTTGTCACAAACTTAATCAGTTAAATGCAAGTGAATACGTCATAATAAATTAGATTTGGACTTTTAGTAGCACAAGTTGCATGTTGGCAGACTCTAGCTGTCGACCGGAGCTTTAAGTATAACGGAGAGGACGATTTGTTTTGTCAGTAGATAAATCCTCCAGCCTAGAGCACAACACACAGAGGTATCATCACGGTGAAGATACTTACTTCTTGGCTGGGGTCCCAGCAAACTGCAGATCTGAGGGGAGGGGGGGGCAGAAGCACAGAGATAGTTCAAAAAGAGAAAATAAAAGACAAGTATTTCTGCTTTAGAATACATTTTCCCTCGAATTATACATCATTTCTGTTACGTAACATCAGCTATTCACTCGTATGTAACACTCAGATGTGTGAACTTCTTCAGAAAGCGAAGTTTTGATTAATTTAATGGTTCGTTCTTGAAAAGAAAATGTTTTAATGTAAGACCGAAAAGGCATTAAGTATTGAAAGAGTCGTTATACAAGATTTAATAGGAGCGATTTCATAAGAAATACGGTGAAAAGGTGTGTGTGCATGCACTCAAGGCCGGGCATTTCAAGTGTTGAATTACATAAATGTTCAACAAATAAAATACCACAACTCAAGTGTCTTCCCCCCCCCCTTCTTTTGCTGCCACATTCAGCTACTTGTGTGCATGTTTCTCGACACTCACTGCCCACGAGGTTGGCCAGAGAGGAGTCGAGGTCGTTGGCTAGCAGCTTCCCTCCGTGATGGATGGCCATTTGAGGAGGAGGAAGAGGTGCGTTGTGTGTGGGCATCGTAGGCTTCAACACGTCTCCTAGAGCATCAAAACCTGGAGGACAAATGGATGTATATGTATAAGTCAATAACTTTACACAGACTGGTAAAAGCATCATAAGGCGCTTTCACACCGGAGTACTTTTCCCAGTATAGCTCCGATATAGTTCGGAAAATGTGCGTTCACACCAAATAAATCGGGAACTAGAACTTAGTTCATGAGAACCTTTCCACCCCCTTTTCTGTCCCTGCTAGAGAGCAGGTACTTTCATGGGAGAAAAAGGTTGCCATTTCTGATTGGCTGGGCGGATTGCAAACCACGCCCCGTAAAACTCCCAAAACGTTTTGTGAAGCCGCCATTTTATTTGCTCGCATTAGCATTATTAGCATTAGCATTAGCCCCGCTCACCAACGGAGAGAGACTAACTTATGGCAACACAAAATAAAACGTGGTGGAGTGATGAGGAGGTGTCGGCGTTCTGGCGATTTACTCTGAAGGCTTCAGTAGAAGCTGCTGGGAGTCCCAGCAGCTTCTACTGAAGCCTTCCCCAACTCCGGGGACTTCCGGCCGGGGACTTCGGGTGGCAGTATACGCCGTGAAGTGGTTTGCGGCCTGCCAGTAAACCCAAAGCAGAAGAAGAAGAAGTGACGTCAGCGGCTTCATTTGACTAATCTTCCCTCAGGGACTTATTCCGGTGTGGACGCGATCGGCTCTTTAGTTCCATGGGGGAACTAAGTGCTGGGAACTAAGTGCTGGGAACTAAGTACGGCAAAGTACTTGGTGTGAAAGCGGCTATACACACACATGGATTTTTGACAGATGCTGCCAGTTTCAGCGGCTTCATTTGCCTAATCCTCCCTCAGGGATTTATTCCGGTGTGAACGCGATCTGCTCCTTAGTTCATCAGGACTAAAGAGTTCTGATGAACTAAGTACTCATGAACTAAGTACTCATGAACTAAGTACGGCAAAGTACTTGGTGTGAGAGCGCCTATAGAGAGTAGATGTTAGGATGTTAGAACAGCCCACAGGCGCATAGAGGAGGAGGAGTTAGGAACAAACATATCAGATTATTCCACATCATATCTTTGTTATCCAAACTTGGAAAGGAAGGAGTTGTCAAAAACCCCAAAACACTGTAAAAAGCAAGGAACACATTTACAGTGTGTCCGTCTGCTTCGATGTTAGCGGCAAAAGTCAACTAGCTTACTAGCTAAAGTAGTAATTGAGATATTCTACAATATTTTCGGCGGCTACAGGAAAGAATATACCAAATAATACAATATCAATACACTACTGCATATTAAGGAGTGAGGTAAAGTTAGCATCTGTCCAACTTACTCGCGCCTAAGTTAGCGCTACGTTCGCTCAAAGTTCCCTTTCAAAAGCATAGTGCTATTTGGTTCTGCATATTTACATATTTTACTGTTTTTGATAAAAGGGAGCTTTAACAAAAGAGTTGGTCCTAAACCTAAAAGCCAATTTGCTTGTAACCGAAACTAAAGGCTTTTAAAACAAACTCATGGAGCTAACGTTAGCTTTAATAGCTTCTTACAGTAGCATCGGGAAAATCCGTTGAAGGAGCTGTTGTGTGTTTTTTTTAAAACACTGGCTACTTGATATTATCTTGAGGGCTAAATCTGCTGCTGTTAGCTGCATATCTGCTAAATGAAGATAAATACATCGCAGACCTAACAAAACATACCAAATTGGGGCGGGGCTTCATGAGCGATCAAACTAATCAAACTGTGTGTCTGGAAAACTAATGTTGGAAATAAGGAAAGTTTAAGAGCAGAAGCAACTTATTTCAAAAGGCAATAAATATGAAATCTAATGAGAGCCGACTTCACTTCCTAATTCACCACACTTTTCACTCACATTTGGACCACTTCAATAAAGCCGCGCTAGACGGTTTTGATCTGAGAATATTGCTGAGCTGTGCCTCCTTAATGTGAACTATCAAATCTCACTGCTAGCCTCGCTGTTAATTGAATTTGTCCTGCTCTATTTTTAGCATTTACCTACATGGGGCAGATATTCCTGTTTAATGCAGACGTACTGAACCAAGACTCCTTTATCACGGTCATGCAGCAGCCAGCCCATAATCCCTGACTCAGTAGCTCGCGGCACTTGTTTCTAGATGATTGATTTATCTGTTTGTAGCTGCCATGTACTCACTCTGACTCCTAACAGTGATTTGTTTTGAACATGTGTGTGTTTGTGTTTTATTAGACAGAGTGTCCACGGCCGCTAGGTGCAAGTCATTTTCCTGTGTGTGTGTGTGCGTCTGTGAACAACTCCCAGGTTGCGTTCGAATACTCCAAAAAAACAGCTCCTAAGTTCTAACCCTATCGTCTATTCCTTGACCTCTGAGTGAAACGTCATGGGGTTAAGGGATAGTGGATAGGAGAATTCAAAAGGATTTAGGAGAAGAGACTGCGGCACTTTAGAGAATCCGACTGCACTTTCACTATCCGACGTGTTTATGATGCGCCAGCGGAGGTCATAAATGTGCGCCTGCTGCTGTGGGGAAACTATGGAAACTACAATTTTCTATACAGCGGACTACAACATGGATGTTTAATAAGAACGAGGGACTACTGTAAACTCATCTAGAGACTCTGCACCGTGCTCTGATGCTGTTATGCTTTATGAACGGGGACAACAGAGAAACATATTCTTCATGACCAAAGTTGGAATTGAAATAAAAAAGGAAAGTGAAACTTATGCTCGTCACCCTCTCCCTCCGGTCCACATTAATACAAATGATCCCAATACGTATGATTGTATGAAAAGATCTTAAAATCAATACAAATGTATTTATTATAAACGTTAGTCCTTAACATCTATCACTGTGTATATCACCATTCAAACATCTTTTAAAAGTTGAACAAACCCCACACAGCTCAGTAAAGACTGTGAAATGTTGACTTTATTTGATCATTTCAGTAAAAACTAACGTTCATATTTCTCTTTTTGATTATAATACTGATGAACGTTCAAAACAAAGCACTTTGGCAACTTACCACATACGTTTTAAATTGCTTAATAAGCACCGTAACTTTATACCGATATCATTTCTCGTTCATAATCGGTTGTTTCCGTGAACGGCCGACTGTTGTGTGACGGCAAATGCTGCGGCCGCAAGGCATTGTGGGGCAGCATTTTCTCCTCTCCTTTCGGTTAGGGAGGTCCAGTGGTTCCTAGGCTAAAGGAGGTTATAAAGGAAGTTTGAAACCTCCTTTCCTTTTAATTTAGAGAATTCGAACGGCACTTATCATGGCTGCCACTGAGGGACTTCCGGGTCATTTCACTCCGTTAGGAAGGTTCCTAAGCTAAATGGACTATTCGAATGCAACCCCAATGTCAACATTCATCCGGCTAATGGCTCAGTATTAATCTCCTAGTAGAAACCTGGAGGTGTGACAGTGTGTGTTTATTAGGTGTGAAAAGGGGTTAACATGGCGAGTTAGGGCTGTGCAATTAATCGTATTTTAATCGCAATTACGATTTTGGCCTGCCACAATTACGAAAAACAACATGATCTGAAAAAACAATTATTTTGCTTTGCTTGGTTGTGACAGTGCAACATATTTGATCTAATTAATTTTGGTCTCATTTATTTGTATTTATCATATTTATATATGTTTAGTAGCTTGTTGAAGTGCGCTCCAAAATATTTGTTGATCTTGTTTATTGGTATTTATTATTTTGATATTATTTATTTAAATGTATCATTTATTTTTGTATTGGTTTTTCAGTTGAACGTTCAGGGTAATCAACAGTTAAAAAGATACTGTTCAAATTATTATTTGTATTTGTTTTAAAGTTCAATAAATAGATTTTTTCAAAGTCAATGAATAATCGTATTTAATAATCGTGATATCAATTATTGACCCAAATAATCGTGATTATGATTTTTGCCATAATCGCACAGCCCTATGGCGAGTAGTAGAAAGGTTTTTTAACAATTACTGCATTATTGTTTCCTCACATCATCCGAACAATCAATACGTAGAGACACGTAGCAGAAATAAAATGAGGTCAGGTACAACGCGACGAAAACAAGAATGTGCAAAATGCAAATAGAAGAAAAACCAATGTCTCCGTAGGAACACAGAGGAGGAGGAGAACGGAAAATAGAAAGAGAGGCAACTGACTGTGGAGGAAAAGGGGGTGGAATAATATTTAGTTAGGAAGCGGCGTGCAGGTCTGACAGTGGTGCTGACACAAGAGGTTCAGAAAACACTTTTCCTGCTAGCTTAGCAGATGGGAGAAAGGGAGGGAGAGGGAGAAACAAACGGAGACAGAAAATAAGTCAAACTAAGAGAAGGAATTGAGAAAGTGGTTGAAAGAGAGGAATGACAATCCTCTTCACTCTTATATCTCACGCATTGTCTCCATGTTCATGTTGCGATAAAACACGTTGGCAATGTGGGTGATTCTTTGTTGGTTTCTCAGCGTTGTAAAGCCCACTGAATTGAATTGAACCAACGGAAAAGAGGCTTAGATAAAAGGGATGAAGAAAAGAAACAAGCTCTCAGTAGATCACACACACAAGGCAAAGAGAAGAAGGAGGAAGGAGGGAGGAGGAAGGGGATGAAGTGAACACTGAGCGTTTTATTGAACCGGAGGATAATGCTATCAGTGTTAGCTTAGGTGTTTCAGCAGAGGATTTGACAGTCAATAGAATTTAAGATCAAAGGGAAGCGAGGAAGTAAATCCTTCCCGTGTTCAATCCTTAAACACGGCAAGGCAGAAATGTGTTACTTACTACCATTTAGTTGGATTATCTTAAGCTCTTTGCAGAATACCTGACATGCAGGATTCATCTATTTGTTGCCATTCCTAACCGGTTTATAGACACACAAAAAGAGCCACTAATGCTGTGCACAATTGTTGACACCTGGTGTAGGAATGGAAGCCTTCCCGTGCTTCTCCGTTTTATCACAGGCTGCAATAGTGATGGATTATACAACATGTTTTTCGATGTTTCTACGCCTGTCAAAGCTGCCGTCTTTTCCTGAAATCAAGTTCTCTCGTTTTCGAAAAAGG